GCCTACTGACTGATGACTGAGCAGTATCCACAGGGTAGGTGCTCTGGGCATGGGGGAGGTTTGCAGGTAGGATGGTGATAGAAATTTCATTATGTTACTCAAGTCCCATTATGGCATGGGACTTACAGCCCATTACATAGTTTTGCACTGATGCATTTATTATTTTCAGATTGTAATTGGCGGCAGATGACTAAAACCTCAGAGATTGATAGTGCATGCCATCAGAGGTCCTCTTAGGTTGTCCCTAGCAGCCTTATCATTAAGAGACTCCCCACAGTTTTTACTACATGATTTGTGCTACTGTAGAAAAGGGAATCTGTTTAAGAACAAGTACAAATGTCAGAGATTAAACATTTGCTTTTGTTTATTTGTAATTAATCAAAAGAGCAAAACATGCTCAGACAGAAATCAGTATCCCTAAGACAAAGATCCATCTATAGATTGGGCGTCCAGGATAAACACAGTTATTCCTTGTTTTATGAATAAGTAGAAGAGACTCTGTAAGATAGCAAAAGTAAATAAAACAACCACCGAAAAATAACCCTCACTATCCTTAAAGACTCCAATTTCAAAAGCTCTGTTTTATTTTGTTTTGTTGAATATTTATTTATATGTGCTGTTTGCTTATACATATGCATGTTTGCCTGTGTGGGCTCATGTTTGTGTGCCGAGGCCCGAGGTTGCTGTTGGGTGTCTTCTTCAATGCCTGTCCCTGAGCTCTCAGTTTCTGCTAGTCTGGCTAGCCATCTTGCCTTAGGATCTCCTGTCTGCACTTCCCAGAGCATGGGATTCCAAGTGGGCTGCCCTACCCACCAAAGCCTTTACATGGCTTTGGGGGACAAACACTCAGCTTGTTATACTTGCCCAAGAAGCATGTTTAGTAGTTAAACCACCTGGCCCCCAGCCTCTCCTCAGGTCTGTAGACCAGCAGTGATGGTGTCTGTAAAAGCTCTGTATAGGGACAGAACAATCCAGGTATGCACTTAGTCTCGGGGTCTCTGAGTGGAAGGTGGGGTTGGGGCTGTTTAGAGTCTAAGTTATAGATTTTAGATGATATAGTGAAACCTCTTTGGTAATGATGAAAATGTTTTGTGGTACTCGTGATGTCCAGTCTGACAGCTATTAAGTAAATATGGCTAACTCATTTTAAATGTGGTGAATTTGGTCTTTAAAAGTCACACTGAGGAATTTGGCTTCTGGATTCTGTATCTGCACTAGAACTTTTTATTTAGTATTTTCAGTTTCTAATTGGCAGTGGTAGCTGAGACATTTACCTACACAGTCAAAGATACAGGCTTCAATAACGCCTATGACAGCTAATGTTAAAGGTAAAATTCAAGGAGATTTGTTGAAGAGTAGTTAGGACCTTTATTTAGGATCATTACATAATTTTAGAGGCCCACAGACGTGGACTTTGAGTGGGTAGGAGATTGTGCCTCTTTCTGAATTCAGCAGGGACCCCTGAGAGCCCATAAGCAGGGTAGGGGGGAAAGGCCCGAGGACGATGTGCCAGCCCCTGCTGACTTTATGGGCAGCTCTGGATGATGGAGACCCTGACCCTATGTGGAAGGAGACGTGCAGACCATGAGAGGGAAGGACTAGAGACACTGACTTAGCTGAGTTCTGCTGAAACTGGATTTTAGATGTAAACATGGAAGCTTTTCTCTTTCTTTCTTTCTTTCTTTCTTTCTTTCTTTCTTTCTTTTTTTTTTTTTGGAACTGGTCCACCCAGAGAGAAGCTATATATTCGGAAGATTGCACTTTGGAAATCTATTTAACCTGAACGTTTAGAGACATTATGAGTGGAATAAGCATTGTTGCAGGAGTCTCTTCTGAGTGGCTAGTTAGAAAGGGGTGGAGCTTAATGAAAGATCGCACTTGAAAGCTGTCTGATTTCAAAGCATTAGCAAGTTGGTATTGTTAGAATCCTACTAACTTTTAGAGGAACATTTTAAATATGATTTTATGACATACGCTGTTTCATCTGCTGTTTTTCTCTTTTTATAACCTGGTATTTTCTCACTGTTACCTTAACAACTTGTATGTTTATAACATTCACAATTAGTTTTGCTGATCACCTTTTTATAATTTATTTTGGATCATTAGACATTTTATTGCATGTTCTTTACTTCCGGGGTTCTCATTTTGATATGACTGCTATGATTTAAGTCTTGTGGCATGGAATAATTGTCTCATATGAGTGCAATCCAGACGGTTCACTTTTCTCTCTAGTTGATTTGCTTTTCATGCATGAATTATTGAATAACTCTGATATTTCATGCACAGTGATTTAATCTGGAGCAAACACAGGAATAGGTTCGTGGGCATGCATGGAGCGTGTGGGGTGTGATCTTCTAGGACTTTCATCATTTCTCCAGTCTTTGTGTGGATGGAGGAGCAACTATGTGAGAGTCACCTTTGAAAAGGAAAGCTGTAGAAACGTCGGCTCTGTATCCCCATTCCTCATCTAACATGTGGTAACATGGGAGGAGGAGAGATGCCCTCTCCCCACCTCCCGCCCATCAATTCCCGAGACAGGTGGAGTGGCTGGCCCTGGGGTCCTAAGAGCAGGAGGGCTGCCCCTACCCCTCACGGGCTGCAGCACTCTGGAGAGTGGCCACTGATCCATGCCTGGGAACACAGTAGAACTGGCTCATTGCTTCAAGAGGTGAATTAGTCAGGGGAGGGGGGTAGTGCTGGAGAGCTCACCCTGGTGGTGAGGCCAGGGGAGAGCTGGCAGGAGTTCCAGGATTGTGATTGGCCCACCCCAACAACAGTCCCATCTATGATGTGCTGGAGCACGTGACCCGACCCACACACCCAAAGCTGTAGGATCTTCATGACACAGGGCAACGGCAGGATGTCCAGGAAAAGTCCCAGCAAGGACCCGGCATCCATAGTGTAGTAGAATGGCTCTTGGCAATGAACACTTGCAAGCAAACATCCATGGATGGACCAAGGGGTTTACTTCGTCACTCTGCGGCTTGCATGGCGAGATTTTTAGCTCCTCTTATTTTTCTCTTAAATATTGCATTTTGCTTTATTGGGGGGGGGGGGGAGGGGTGGAAGGCGGAGGGGGAGGGAACGGGAAATGAATGGGATCAAGATACATGATGTAAAAGACACATAGAATAAATAAAATTAAAAATGTCAGCTCTAGCAATCTCCCGGGAAGACATATTTCTATTCTTGTTCTTTTGGACAAAGGAAGTCATGGCAGTGTCTGACACCAAAAGAATGACCAAATTTATTTTATATTTCACCACAGAAAGGGATATGAGATAAGGATCTAAGGTTTTATTTTGCATGGTATTTTTGGCTCCCTCTATTGGCTACTTATGAAATAATGGAACAGTGGAAGTAATTTATTTCCTCATCCAGACATTGATATATATATATATTTCAGATATGTATGGGAGGGTTAAAATAATATTATGATGGGCAAAGTTAACATTCTTTTTTAAGAATTTTAGTATTTTGCACTCCACCAGAAATATGGGCCAGTGCCAGTTTTCCCACAGACAGTATGTAGTTAAGTGTTTGAATTTTTACCCAATCTGGTGTGTGAGAAATAATATCTCACTGTGGTTTAGATTTGCACTTCACTGGTTGCCTGTGAACCTCAACATCTCTGAGTATGTGTCCTGTGAGTTGTCTGACCTTGTCTTTTGCCCATTGTTTACACTGGAGTTTTCATGTTCCCCCCCAAGTGTAGTTCTTCAGATGCTTGAGAGGCAGAAGTGTCTTGTTTCCTGTTTCTGTGTGCACACATATCTGCCCTTGTTCCTTTGGGATGTATACATTGTAACTCTTACCTCACCTTTTAACGTTTATTCATGTATTTATGCATGTGTCTGTCTGTCTGTCTGTCTGTCTATCTATCTATCTATCTATCTATCTATATCTGTTTGTGATATGTGCCTTGGTGTCGTGTCCAGTGTCCCAGGGATGCGGGCCACCAGGTTTGGGGATAGTGGCCGTGCCTGCTGAGCTGTCTCTTTGGCCTGTATCTCACGTTTGCTTTTGGAACATTTCCGGCAGTTAGAGAACTTCATTAGCACTCATTTAAATTGTTGTGTCAGATTAT